GGTATGTCACGGAATCGAGAATACATACAGAGACTTCATCGACCAATTTACAAGAATGCTGCCGTTAGTGTAGAGCTCCACAAAGTACAAGGCAACTGAAACTCGAAGGAGGCATCCAGGGGACGAAGTGACAGAATATAAAAGAATTAATTCTTTGCATCCCTAAAAGAAGCTTAAAGATACTCCTTTCAGAAAATCAGAATCTCAAAACTAATGGGCACTATTTAAACTAACTGCGGTTTGCCGATTTTATTCTGATCTCACAAAATCTTTAGAACAAAACTGAGAATAACTGCAGAGAAGAATCGAAAAGAGAACGACGTCAGCGCCAAGGCAAGGTTGAAAATAAATCCGTAGAAATCTCATGTAATGTTCAACAAATTCATAATTTTACAAGCAAGTAAAATTAGTTGACGTTGGCTTTAAGAAGGGCAAAACTACTGTTATCAATGACAGCTGATTTCGCAGTAGAGAACCTATAATTGGAAATCAGTTGAAGAATTTAAATAACGTAAAGCACACTTCGATTACTGAAAATTTTCCAATCTTGGAAACTACCCATGCAGTTGGACGAAAAGTCTTTGATCAACGAGTCCTTTGATGGTTAATATATGGATGAGAAAACTGGTCTGTAGGCATGAAAGCCGTTCAAAAACTGAGCAACGTAGCATAGAATGGTATGCGTTGGGAGAAATAAATAATGTTATTTATAAATGAGTGAACAGTAATTTGCTGAGTCATGGTGTGAGTCAATAAGTTGAAATAGTATTGATCGAGACATGTTGCAAAATGTAACTAGATCAAAAATATACCAAATGGGTAAACGGCGAATGAAACAACCTCAGAATGATGGCAAAACAAGCGGAGGAAATTCGTTAGAACAACCTGGGCATTAATCGCAGAAGGTAGAAGTTTGTGGAAAAGTTCTCTAGCAGCCTGCATGCTTCAGCGAAATGAAAAACCCTTATTAGGATGGTTTTGATATTGCAGAGCAAAGCTTAATACCATGGGTCGTGTTGTAATTATTGTATTCGACAGAAACACCAGTCCTATTGAATAGTTTACAGCTCCAGAGGCCGTTGGGAAAATTGCGGAAGACTGCGAAAAGTCGGCGACCAGAACCTGCTTGAGACCTTCTGAATATTGCGGGTGTAGCAGCATGATGATGTCGGAGAAAATTCTACACCAAGTCGATGAAACTGCTGATCATCAGCTTAGTCGCTACCCGTTCAAATATTGCAATGTCATTACAGCATGTCAGATAAGGCCAAGGGAACGAGCTAACACTTGAAACTGGAATATCTTTTTACTCAGAGGGAAAGAGCAAGACATAGCTGGTGAATCCGCAAAACACCAATTGGAAATAATTGAACTCTCCTCAGCGAAAATATTCTGAAATTTTGAACCTCTATGGATGGAAGTTATTTTATTCAGGCATTTACTCCATGACATCCGCTCAGATTGGTGTTTGTGAACTGTATAACCCAACTGAGCTAGCTTAATTATTAAATGGAACCCTGTCACCGGTAGAGTGGCAATTATCCGACTGCATTTATAAAAGCCTTACGTGTTGACCTTATTTATCTCAGGTCTATTTGCCCAATTAGAAGAGAAAATATAAGTCCTCATTGGAGAACGCAGAAGCTTCCCTATACAAAGTGTCGACTGCGGAATCCATCATTCTTCCTTTGGGTAAATTCAATGAGCATGTCAGAGCAGACACTGAAAAATGGAAAGGTTTGATTGGAAAGAACGGCACTGGTGATCTGAACAATATCAGCATAATGTTGTTGCGGTTTTGTGCAAACAACGGATTTTCCATTATGAACACCATCTTCGAGCATCGAGGCGTGAATCAGTATACCTGGCACAGAGAAACGTGTGCATGGAAGTCGATGGTCGATTTGATATTCATATCTTCCGACTTAAGACACTGAGTAATAGATGTTCACGTTAAGAGAGGCGCAGAGCTATCTATGCAGCTACTATAAAACCGATCATAACCTTGCTGCTCGCATTCTGGCACCATTATCAATTGGTAAATTGAAAACATCATATTCTGTGGATATGACGGTGAAACGGAAACAAAATGGCATACGGTTTGAACAGATCCAAGTGATGACGGATAACGTGAAAGCTGTTTAATAACATTTTATTCTATGTTGACGACGAATGCTGCCGCTTAAAACGGATATTTTTTCCGCCTGGGGGTCACAATCGAACGTCTTGGGGGAACATCCGAAGTTGATCTGGCTGTCAGGAATAAGGCTGCATTCGAGAAATGGCGGGGAAGCAACTCAAGAAAGTTTTCAATTCGCCTGCAAATTCCTGCAACATTGCAACGAAAGCAGTGACTAAAGCGAAAGCTGATTCTAGAGAAAATTTCTGTAAGGTGCGGGAACCGTATTTCCAGACGACAAATAAGGTATTATACCATTAGCATATCATCCGCCTTCTCCATAATTGAAAGATGGGCAGTGTAAAATTAGTATGGATCTTTCTTATCATAGATGAATGCAATCCCTTCGGCGATGGGGAGAATACTCTGAGGTACTCCTTATTTCAGAGCTCTGCCGGAAGACTCCCGTGAAACCAGCAAAGCATATTATTTTTTCAGTAGTTGAAGTTACAGAAGCGGTATAGCGCTTGAAAAGTGACAAGGCTGCTGGGATCGGTTAAAGCCGTCATGAGCTTTAGGCGCACAAAGCGTGTTGTGATTAACACTAGTATGTCGCATTGCAACAGCTACTCAAAGAATACCAATTGATTGGAGACCTCGGGTTGTATTACCCCTATTCAGAAACGTACGCCATAAGGAGTGCTTGAATTTTCTGAGCATTACCTAATTGATCCTCCTGAGAAAATCCTGGGAAAAGGTGTTAAAATAAGGATGCCACAGAATAACTGACCCTAAGATGAAAAAAATGGCGTAATATGGAAGCATTTCTGACTAGATCTTCACCTTCCAAAAATTGTTGAAA